GGGTTGGGGGAGGAGGGGAGAAGGAGCGGGAGGGAGCCCCAAGGAAGAGGTGGAAGCGCGGAGGCGGTGAAGCGCCGCCCGCGCAGCGTCGGGCGCGGCTCTGGCTGGAGACCAGCCCGGTGAACCCCTAACGGAAGCAGAAAGAGAAACATTTATTCCTGAGAGTGTGGGAGGCCCACGGGAGGTGCGTGGCCGGTGGACTGGAACCCCTGTCTGTGTGTTAATGGGAGAACTTCGCCATAAACCAGGCCCTTCACTCCTGCTTTATTCTTCATGGCAAAGTTCCTTTAGCTCCGCATTTTGCATGAGTTAATTCATTGCTGGGCTGGAGTTGAAACAGGCAGTTCTCTGTGGAGCCTCGTTCCGACTGTGGGGGTGGGGCGTTTGAATTTGGGGGGTGGGAAGGTGAGCTAGGATATTGAACTAGTCTTAGGCACTTTAATGTGTGTCCAGCTCAAAACATGAAGAAATCGTAGGCTATAATTAAAACCAGTGGTAATAGTTTTCTTGAGGTGATGGGATTGTGGGTGATTTTTGTTTTGGTTATCTTTTTTGATTCTTCTATGGAGAATACGAATCGTGTAATGGGGAGAGAGGGAAAAAAACTAAAGCGTAAGGTGAGGTGTTTGATTTTGTAATTATGTACCTAATCCTATAAGTAAATAGTCGATGACATATTTAGTATAAAAAGTTCAAGATCTAGGAATGGATATGCTATAACATCAGTGAGCTAACATCTTTTTATGTCACTGAATTATAAAATTCATAATTGTATTGTTGAAATAAGTTATTTAGTAAAATACATGCTCTCCAGTAATTAGGGTTTTCTTATAGGGCATTTGCAGTTGTAGTAATTATTTCTTTCTAATTAGGAAGAAAGAAATTGATATTAGATGTCTATAACGTGTCAGGCAATTTTAGGTGTCATTTATAGGTTGCATATCTAGTATTTAGAAATTTTTCATTTAAAATTGTATTATAATTATCCTGAAAGTTGTGATTTAAAGCTTGTTTTTTATTCTTTTCAACCCATCCAGCATATAGAATTTAAACCTTCTCTCAGAAGTGTGTAGTAGAGCTAAAGAAGAAGACAACCAACCAGGGGTCATCCTTCTGAAATTGTAATTGGCTCACTAATCCAGGACAAAGTTAGAGATCACAACTCAAGCATAAGGTAGATAATTTTTTAAATTCCAGCTGAAATTGTAAGTGACTGTATATATACCCATTCCTACCAAGGTATTCTAATTCTCTACTTTGCATAGAGGTTGACACAAATGTGAAAGGTAGAAAAGCCTCTAGGGCACAATAAAAAATGACACTCAAATCCACACTCTCCTCATTTGCCAGATGGCCCTTCCTTATCAACTCAAAAGGGAACAAAATCCATGGCACCTGTCATGGTTAATTTTCCCATTATTAAATATATTCTCATTGATTAAATTATGTCTTCAAGTAGGAGTCCTCAAAGCTGAAAGAGGGCATAAAATAGCATGTCACATTTTGCTTATATCTTTTTGCATATGAATGGATAGTATTGCAGCTTCTTCTTTTTATTCCTGGAAAGGGCCATCCATTACCTCTCCTACTCCAAGCATTTCTTGTACTCTGGCTTGTCTTTTTCAAACACCAAAGTTGATGATTTGTATTTTTGTTCATTAACACTTAATAGTACTAAGGCTATGTAAAAAAACACAACAAAAACAAATGGGACTTAGCTGTTTCCTGGAATGAGTATATAAAACTCAAGATTCTTATAAAAGTTTGCTGCTAAATAAAGTTTATCTTGAATATAGGCAGCACGTGAGAATGCATAGCCTTTATGACAGATTCCACATGGATTTTACTTCTATTTTCTATACCTTCACATCTTTTAAGTGTCAGTTTTCTGGTTGTCCTAGTTGAATTATTCTTTTTTAACTGGAGATATTAGTCTATTAAAATAGTACTAATTAGTACTTTTAAAAAACAAGTAACTAATGAGTGATAATGGAATTCTGAGTTAACTGATTGTATAAATGTAACTTTTTCAAAATTTGATTAACTACATATTCTTTTCTCTTGTTCTCTTCTTCCAGTCCCCTTTTCCTAACACCGTTACAAAGATGTTTGACATAAAAGCTTGGGCTGAGTATGTTGTGGAATGGGCTGCAAAGGATCCATATGGCTTCCTTACAACCGTTATTTTGGCCCTTACGCCATTGTTTCTAGCAAATGCTGTACTGTCCTGGAAACTGGCCAAGATGATTGAGGCCAGGGAAAAGGAGCAAAAGAAAAAACAAAAACGCCAAGAAAATATTGCAAAAGCTAAACGACTGAAAAAGGATTGAAGGAATGAACAGGCTCTGCAACCAGAGGAAACTCATTTGGGAAATTATGCAGCTTTGGAAGGACCCTGTAAGGTTTCTTATCTGGATTTATGATAGTATTTAATAAACGAAGCCTGAGCATATGGAAGAATCATGTTAGTTCTGACCGCTACTGCAGCAGCTTTGAGGCTTCTGTATAGAAGTCTATTGACAGTTATTTATTATGCCAAAAATGCGTTCTAACTGACTTAGTCATTTGCCATTTTGCAGCTTAATACATCCTGTGGAGAAAAAATGACTTTAGATTATGAACTCTACTCAAATACTGGCTCAAAAAGGGTCCTGTTCTGGACAAAGGAAACTAAGAATGTAAAAATGAGAACTGTCCTGAGGTGAAAAGTATGTTTTGGCTTAAAAAGAGATACAGCATATTAATTATATCTTTTGTCATTATTGCTTATATCTTAGAATCATTTCTGGCTTTCTCAAAGCAATTATTATTAATCAGTGAGTACTTCATTTTCTACATCTTCCTCATTCTAGCCTTCGAGAGACTGGTAATTATCAGACATTCTGCCTTTTTTAAAATCTAATTTTATAAAAAATTCATCTTGACTGTATAGAGTACCACCTACTAACAGTTTTTGTACTTATGAACACTGCCATTTACTTAGAGATGACTTGTTGAATAGAGTAACACTGTGATTTAAGCTTGCAGTAAAAATGCTAACCCTTGTAGTACTTTGGAACCAGTTTATTCTTACTCGTGCTAAGAAATGTGAAGTATGTAGTTAAAATGTCTTATCTGATAATTTGCTGATTATATAGATACCTCTTTTAATTTTTATTCCATTTTTTGAACTCATGTAGTGATGTTCTATAATTTTTGATCAAGTTCATGGTGAAAATTAAAATTTCAATTTTGTTTTCAAGAAACTCTAAAAGAGTAAGTCATATTTCATAAGTTAAATGCATGGTCCAATAATTTTACTTGCTATCACTATTTAATAGCTCATTAATATTTTCCTCATCCTGATAATTCTAAATTACAGAAATTATCCAATAGCTTTAATTTAAAAATGAAAGTAGATATTGAAATAAAATTGATACATTTTTATAAGGGGCTTTAGGGTTTTTTTGGGGGGCGGGGTAATTAAATAATTGAAGTTAGTTATGTTATGAAAGTTAGACTTTTCAAAGGGTTATGAATTTCATTTGTAGATAAGCATACTTGTAAAGTTGAGGCTAATGTTTCTTAAATGAGAACCTAAGGACCCCAACCAAGTATGTTTATGGACTGGTATGAACAATACTACCATTATTTTAGGTTGTCAGTTCCTACTTGATGCCATTGTAAACAACACATTGCAACCCTAGGCACTGAAATAATCCAGTGTTTAGTTATGAGCTAGTAATTCAGGTGATCAAGATATGCTTTTTGTATTATTGAAATGAAAACAATACTTTAAAAAAATGCTTAGGTATAACTACTGACCCTCGTGTCTGCAGAAGCCAGTTTAAGAAAAAACTAGGTTAAGATATATCTAAAATGCTTTTGGGTTTCTGCCATAAAGTTGTTCACAAAAGGTATTTATATACATAGGTCTCACTTATGGCCATATTTTAGAGTAAAAGCACTACCACAAAAGAAATACTCCTTTTAATTCTCAGTTATCTATTAAAGCTGTGGTTTCATTGGTTCTGTTGTGATAATTTAAAGGTATTAATTTAACTGAAATATTTTTTTCTATAATTTCTTTTGAAGTCTTAAACATATGCCAATTTTATGTTTGTTTGGCATATGGCATTTGTTGTTTCTTTAGCTTTTCCCAACACTTATGAAGCCTTTTTATACATGTAAGGTCAATAGATTTTACAATATTGTGTCTGTGTCTTAGTGTGTGTGTGTGTTTATGGTGGTGGGAATTCAAAATTGAGCCTACTGTGAGATTTGGGATTTTTTAAGAAAAATTAATCTTTTCTCATTGAAACAAATAGCACTGTAGTTAAAAGAATCACATTTACTATTATCCAGAATACTTCTTTTAAAAAATTGCCTACTTATATTGTTTGAAGTTCTGAGAAGTAATATAATCAATTACCTTTTTTTTTTTTGGCTGGTTTTGGGGTAAAAAAAGAAGGCTGCCTGTAGCAAACATTTAAAAACCCCTCCTCCTCTCTGCGAAGTTTGTGGGTCGAAATTTGATCCC